GACACATAAACTTGTTTTTCATATAAAAACCAGTTTTTAATGCATGAACAATTTCTAACATTTTCTAAACTATTTCCAAAATGATGTTATGCTTTCTAATGCTAAGATGCACCTTTAGACTTAGAGGATAGCATCAAATATACATAAACGCTAAAGTACCCTAGTTTTGACATCATTCAAAACAATTCTAAAAGGAAGGGCGCTCACATACTCCCCTTTTTCAATAATGGTAAAGTGTGCGACGATGCATTTGATGTCTTCATGAAGGCTCCCCCTGACTGTGTGCATCATAGCTTGCATATTCTTCTACCCATTTGACAACATCAAAAAGAGATAAAGCAAGTCATTAGAAGTATCACATAGATACAACATATCATATATACCATATACCACATAGAGGCGTTTGAAAAGAAAGAGAGTGCACTCACATACACCACATACATGAAGTTACATAAATTAAAGGTAATACAAAATAAATAGAAAGGCAATATAAACAACATTGCAAAATAGAAAGGCAATATAAATAACACAAAAATGACAAGTTGAAATGGTTTAAGTGAAGAGAGGGAAATGATTTTCTCATATAAAGCTGCCAAGTGGCTGAAAACGTGTGTTTGATTAGGCAATACAACGTTAATTGGTCAATTACGAAAAATGGTATAATTTAGTGTAAATTAATATTGTAATAAAAGATAAAGTAATGAAAGTTTAGGCATGTTTAATTCTTAGTTAGATAGTTGAAACCTTTTAAATCAAGGCTTGAATATATCTTTTGATTTTTGTCTATCTCTTTTTCATATTCTTTTTTCTCAAAATTTTGAAACTGAAAAAGTCAATATTATCAGAGACCCACCAACTCCGATAAGATACGAACCCCGTACTAATGTACCTCAAACACTTCAAGAAGAATTAATGGAAAGGGATAGATTGCTGCAGCAATTGAAAATTCAATTGGAGAAGGCTCAACAATATATGAAGAAACAAGCTGATAAACATAGAATAGAGGTGACATTACAGGTGGGTGAATTTGTCTTGGAAAAACTTCATCCATATAGGCAACAATCTGTTACATTGAGAAAGAATCAGAAGTTGGGAATGAGATACTTTGGACCATTTGAGATCATCGCACGAGTAGGAGAGGTTTCCTATAAGCTCAAGCTACCAGAACATGCCAAAACCCATCCTGTTTTTCGCATATCTCAGCTAAAGCCATTCAAATGTGTGCCTCAGAATCAATACATGCCTTTACCGCTCACCATGTCGGAATATGGACCCATCATACAACCCAAAGAGGTATTACAAGCTCGTACCATAGTCAAGGGTAATCAGAAAATTCATCAGGTTCTAGTCCAATGGGATCAACTTACAGCAGCTGAAGCAACTTGGGAAGATGTTGATAACTTACAGAAGAAATTTCCCTCCTACAACCTTGAGGACAAGATTGTAATTAATAGGGATGGTATTGTAATGAGGCCAAATGATAGAAGAATTCTAGAAGCAGCAAGTGAATCAACAAATATGTTAAAAAGCCATAGAAGGTGGAGGAAAAGAATGATGTTGTCCTTAGTGGTGGGATGATACCATGTAAAGGAGAGAGAACGAGAAATCAGCACAACATGTGGAAGGAATTTGTGAAACCTTAAGGCCAACTATATATAGTACATTAGGGGAATATTATTAGGTCATGTGATTGGTGAAGTTGTCATTCTTCTCCCTCAAAACTCTCTTTTCACATTTGTTTGTAATTCTGATTTCTAATTGTTGATGAAAGCTTTCATAACAGAACTTCTTTCTCATTATCATTGCCATTGTTAGAACTTAGTTTTACTGTTACATTGAATATTATTTTGCAGAACTGTTACAAGCGTGCACTTACATACACCACATACACGAAGTTACACAAATTAAAGGTAACAGAAAATAAATAGAAAGGCAATATAAACAACATTCACTAGTACAAAAATATCTTTATAGTAGAGATTGTTAAGTCAGTTCACCTACCACCTGACTTAAGAAGTGATGCGGTGGCAATTTCGTAAATATTTATAACATTGTTATGTCTATTACATTTAGAACTGACTTTAAAAAAAATTAAAGAAACAAAATATAATTAGTATTAAAATTTTTAAGTCTCCTGTGTTCACTAACTGACTTAACAAACATATTTGTTAAGTCAGGTATTACTCACCTGACCTAAAAATTAAGAACAGAAGAGTCACGTCTCAGACATAGGTTTTTAACAAAAAAAAATAATATCAAAATCATATCTCAGAAGCAGCATCAACAGGTAGAACATGGCCATGGTCAACATCATGTTTCACACTTGAGAAACAACATCAAGCTTATACTCATCAAATTCGTTATCGTCTTACCCAGGTGCGTACGGGTTTTGAATCCAACTCGTTTTGTTTGGTTCGTTTTTCTTCTCTTCTTCGTTTCTGTTATGGTTTTTGTTCTCACTTCATCTCGCTTTCTATTTCAAGGCTTGCGTTTTGCTTTGATTTGATGATTTTGGGGTTTGGTTTGAGCGATTTGCGGTGAAGGATTTAGGGAAAGTTTGAGTTTGAAGAAGAGGAAGGAAGTTTATGAGGAACCAGTGCGTTAATGGGTTGTGTGATGGTTTAGGTTATCGTATTGAATAAAATTTGAAGGTTCAGGGGTCACGATTGGAGATTGGTGAAAGAGAAGATTTACGCCTCTCGACGCTGGTCTTACTTTCTCCGACGGAAATTCCACCTTCCGTATCAGCTCCCTCGGATTGTAAACCCCTCTTCCTTTTCCTCTTTCTCATTTTATTTTTCTTATTAAAAATACAATTTTTATCATTTTCACCTTTGGAATAAAATTTAACTGTTTTGAAGTTAATAAGAAAGGAAAGAAACTAAATGGGTTTGTATTTAGGTTTAAATTTAACTAACCCTTTTTTAGAAGGTGATGATTTTGAAAATTGTTTTGATTAGTATTTGTTCTTGGAATTGGTTACTTGATTTTCTTTATTTAACTTTTTTTTGGCATGTGTTCTTTGAATACAGTTTACATTATACAACAGTTGAGCTAGGAACACGTGGAGTGAAGTTCATGGTGGCACTTGATACAGGAAGTGGTATGGAGTCTGGTGATTTCAATGGTATGTTTTGCATCTTGCTATGGAGTCTGGTGATTTCAAAAGAGTACTGTAGTATAACAAGGTTTGTCTCTCTTTTATATTCATGTGCTTCAATGAACTTTTTATAGGAGCCTTTTATAAATCAAACTATCCGATTAACTTTGATGTATTTTCTTGTGATATTTTTCTTCTTATTAGAGAGGGAAATGAAATAGTTTGTAAGTTTAATTTAGTAGTATTATGTTCCGCTGTTGTGTTTTGATGCTGAACATTGTCATGTGAATGTTATATTGATGATGGAGAAAGCAACTGGTATTGTAGTTACAGCTACAAGATCTCCCATGCAGCTTATGATGGGACCTGCCGTTACTGCAACTGGTGATCAGGAGCTGGAAGGTAACACAACTACCTTCCTACGCACTGCCGAGACTTTCTTGCGTCTACTTCCCATTGGCCTTTGTGTTACAGCTCTTGTCCTGATGCTTAAAAACTCCGAAGAAAATGATAACGACTTTGTCTCCTACGCTGACCTTGGAGCTTTCAGGTATATAAATATTCTACTGAAAACATTTTACATGTGAGTATTTCGGTAACAAAATTGAGAGCATAATTATGATTTTTTATAAAGAGGACTAATTATGATTTTTATTTTTTGGCTATTTTGGAGCATAATCCAAATATCTGCCACTTTTCACCAACATTTATTCTCACTGAAAGAGACCATCAAAGCACAAAAGCAAATTGAGAGAGAGAAGAGAAAATGGAGAAAAAAGTTGTGGCTGTGTGTTACGTTGTGGGCTTCTTAGGGCTCTTATCAGCTGCAACTGCCTTTGCTGCTGAAGCAACAAGGATCAGGGTTTTTCTTTTTTTTCTTCTTACTTTCGTTTACTCGAAAAATTCACTCTTAATCTCTTGGATTGATCCACCACTTTTTCTTGTGGTTGATTTCACTGTTTTCTTGAAGATTTTAATTTACCTATAGTGTTTAGTACATTCTTTGTGTTGTTCATTAAGTTTTTTATTTCACTTGTTGAATCTTGTCTTTGATTTTATGTAATTTCTTGAATGTCCTTTTCTTTTTCCCAATTTTGGAATAGATAGGGTTTTACACCAGAACATAGAGTTAGATGTAAGGTTTTTTTTATCAATTTATAGTAATATGTTGTTAGAAAAATAGCTTATACTAGCTTTTAACATTTTAACTTATGATGTGCCAAAATTTGCCATGAATGGAACTGTTATGGTAGCTACTGCTAATACTGTGTAACTTCTTCAGGGTTATCAAATTCAGTTTATCTCGCCAAATCAGTGCATGTATCCTCGAAGTCCAGCTCTACCGCTTGGTTTAACTGCGGCGCTGTCTCTTATGATTTCTCAAATTCTCGTAAATCTTTCAACTGGATGCATTTGTTGCAGAAGAAATTTGCGAATCCCTGATGCCAGTTGGACGGTGGCACTAGCCTGCTTTGTTTTATCCTGGTAACTGTCAGCTTTGTTCTACTATTTCTTTTGCATTATAGCGTATATTTCTCCATGTTTATGAATTTATTTGTAATGTTCTGCTCTGTAAAAGAAATTATGCATAGGATTTGAAAACCCGAGTGTGGTGTTGTGTATAACATTAGAGTTATGCTAAGATTGTAAAATTTACTCCTTTTATATGCTATGGTTCTTTGTGATTATAATCTTTGTTCAAACAGGTTCACATATTTAATTGCATTTCTCCTGTTGCTAACCGGTGTTGTCCCCCGCCCTACTATATCTCGTGCTTGGACTTTCTTCTTCCTCGACCAGGTTTCATAATTAGTCCTCTTTATATTTTAAGATGTATTTCAGCATGCAGATGGCATTAGAAAGATTGAAATATTTTTATGTTCTCTTTCTTAGGCAGTAACATACATTGTTTTGAGCGCGGGAGCTTCGTCGATGAAGGTGGTGTTCCTGGCTGAGAATGGAGACAGTGCAACAGTATGGATTTCAGCTTGTGGTTCTTTTGGTCAGTTTTGTCATAAGGTCACAGCTTCGGTAGCTATCACGTTTGTAGGACGATACAAGTTGATGATGGAGAAAGCAACTGGTATTGTGGCAGATATCTGGTGAGACAGCTTCTTCGACTGTGAATGCAGGTTCTCTTGCTGACTTATCTAACCTAGCAAATGCAAGCCTTTATGGCTTTGAGGATTACCATGGAATAGACATAGGCATTGTTTGTGTCGTTCGGTTATGGTATGCTCCTGTCGGAGGAGAGCTTTCTATCGAGATCAAACTAAAAGAAAAAGACTCGTGCAAAAGTATTTGTTGCTGCGGTTTTGAGCACTATATATTTGAAAAATGGATCTCCCATGCAAAACTAAGTCCCCATCAAGTTTGTGTTAATGTGAAGGAGTTTGAAGGTTGAGTTACTTTGCCTTAGGATTTATTAGTAGAAAGTGGATTTTGGCTTTGATTTTAGGGTAATGTAGAATAATTAGCAGTATTTGTTAAACAAGGTGATGCTTGTCTGGCAGTTTGCCTATTCATAACACTATTATGGTATTATGCCATTATTTCTTATATTCAGTGAGTTCATCCTTAATTATTGTTACTGAGTATATGACCATAATGTATAATATAATGAATTTGAGATTGTAAAAACTGTGAATTTGGTTAATAAACCAAATTTAGCAATACTGGCTTTACATTGTTATGAACTTCCAACTTTCCAATCTTTAAAATATTTTGATTGTTAACCGATTCTTTAAAATATATATATATATATATATATATATATATATATATATATATATATATATATATATATATATATATATATATATATATATATATATATATATATATATATATATATATATATATATATATATATATATATATATATATATACTAAAAAAAGTGTTATTACAAAAAAAATCGACTTGTTAGGTCAGTTAAATATATCTGAAAGCCAAGACTTATTTAGTCGAGCACTGTTTAATTGGCTTAATAACATTTTCTTAAGTCAGGTCTAAATCCGACTTAAGAAGTCGAAACTTCTTATGTCAGCAATTTTTAGGTCAGGTTCAGAACCGTCTTAAGAAGTCATTTTTAACCGACTTAACAAGCATTTTTTCACTAGTGATTGCAAAATAGAAAGGCAATATAAATACCACAAAAATGACAAGTTGAAATAGTTTATGTGAAGAGAGAGAAATAATTTTCTCGTATAAAGTTGTCAAGTGGCGGAAAACGTGTGTTTGATTAGGCAATACAACTTTAATCGGTCAATTACGAAAAATGGTATAATTTAGTGTAAATTAATATTGTAATAAAAGATAAAATAATGAGAGCTTAGGCATCTTTAATTCTTAATTAGATAGTTGACACCTTTTAAATCAAGGCTTGAATATATTTTTTGATTTTTGTCTATCTCTTTTACATATTCTTCTTTCTCAAAATTCTGAAACTGAAAAAGTCAATATTGTAAAAGACATAAAACACTCTAGATCTCACAATATAAAAATAATCCCTCATAGAATAATGTAACACACATTTAAAAGAAAGAGAGTACTATTAAATAAAAAATAGCCACAAACTCCGTGCAGATAATCCGTGATGGTTGTGTTGGAAATTCACCTCACACCCTATGAAGAATTCCCTTCAATCTTGATCTCAAGATTGATGAACAAACCCACAATATGATAATGATGGTAATAACAAGTAATTATCAAGAACAACAAAAGAGAAGAAGAATAACAAACAAGAAAGAGAAGAATGAGAGAATAAGTATTTGGAGAGAATGTGTTACCCACAACTGTGGGATTTCTTATTGAACTTTCACTTGCTAACTGCAACTGTGAAATCTGTTCTGTTGTGATGTAGAATACAAAGCAAGGCACCCTATTTATAGTTTTAGGTTTACACTAGCCCAAAACATAAAAGGCCCAAAATATTCTAAATCAAATCTAATCATATGATATTAAATCTAATCATATGATATCAAATCTAATCATATGATATCTAATCATATCATATCAAATTAATCATATGATATCAAATCTAATCATATCAAATCACAATGAATTATATTTAACACACCACCTAATTCATTGTGTCTAAACTGCCTACATTCATCATGACCCTTAGTCTTCTTAAGGCTTCGACCTGCACTCCCTTCGTCATGATATCTGCAATCTGATTCTCAGTTCTGTAGTGTTCTAACTTCATCTTCCCTTCTGCTACCTGCTCTCGAAGATAATGGAACCTCATTTCGATGTGCTTTCTTTGACCATGAGCTATTGGATTCTTTGCCAAGTTGATAGCTGACATGATGTCTATCCTCATGGTATTGGATTCAGTCATTGCTTTCATCCACTTTGAATCTTTCAATGCTTCAGCTGCATTGACTGGTTCGACATCTGCGTAGAAAGCATAATGTACCAATTCACCCTCTTCATCGACTACATCATCTGATGTAATTACACATTCTTGCAACCTTGCAGGCATGTGTCTTGTTCGTCGAGGTCTGCTTGAACCTGCTTCATCTGCAACTGGTTCCTGTCGAACTTCTATTTCGACTTCAGTGGCTGGTTCTTCATAAGATATTCTCACTGAATCCTTCTTGGAATTCTCAGTCCAATCCCATTCTTTAAGCTCATCTATGATCACGTCCCTGCTGATCACTACCTGCTTATTCACCGGGTCGAACAGCTTGTACCCTCCTGTCGAATGATATCCTATCAAGATCATCTGATTTGACTTATCATCAAGTTTCCTTCTCAACTGATCTGGCACATGTCTATGTGCTATAGATCCAAACACCTTCAAGTGACTGAGACTATGCTTGACACCAGGCCAACATTCTTCTGGTGTGATTCCTTCAAGCTTCTTCGTCGGACATCTGTTCAATATATATGTTGCTGTCGAAACTGCTTCTCCCCATAATTCTTTAGGTAGATGCTTTCCATTCAACATACTTCTCACCATATTCATGATGGTTCTGTTCTTGCGTTATGCAATCCCATTTTGTTGTGGAGTGTAGGGTGGCACCACCTCATGTACAATCCCTTCTTTTACACATAGTGTATCGAACTCTTTCGACACATACTCTCCACCACCATCAGTCCTCAGAATTTTCAGCTTTCGACCACTCTGTCTTTCGACCATGGACTTGAATCTGGAAAATACCTCAATCACATCACTTTTCTTCTTGATGAGGTAAGTCCATAACTTTCGACTGTAATCATCTATAAATGTGACAAAGTATCTATGGATTGGACCACATACATCAGAGTATATGACTTCAAGTATTGCCTTCGACTTCCTTCCTGCATCCTTGCTGAAGCTATTCTTGTGTTGTTTCGACTGAACACACTCCTCACAGACTTCACTAGGAATGTCGATTTCTGGTAATCCTGAAACCATATTTCTTTTCTTCAGTTCTCTGATGTCATTAAAGTTGAGATGACCTAGTCGAAAATGCCATAACCACTCATCTCTGCTGGCTGCAGTTGCTAGACACTTATGCTCCATCACATTGAGTCCAATCTTGAAGGTCCTATTCTGAGACATTGGAGCCTTCAAGATTAATCTACCACCTGCGTCGAGAACTCTCATCATCTTGTCTTCGACAACTACCTTGTAGTTCTTTTCGACAAGCTGCCCTATACTGAGCAAGTTACTCTTCATGCCTGGTATGTACAACACATTGGAAATTGTTAACCTTTTGCCATCTTTCCTCATAATCAGAACATCACCAACACCTTCAGCTGCTAGAGTGTTGTCATTTGAAAACTTCACTGTGTTCTTCGACGAGGGCTTCATGTTGACAAACCAATCTTTCCTTCCAGTCATGTGTGATGAGCATCCTGAGTCCAAGTACCACTGATCTTGGAATCTTTCTTCATCTTTTGTTGTAACCATTAGCAACGTTTCTTCTTCTTCATGTTTCGCCAGCTTTGCATCAGTCTCTTGATTTCTCTTCCTTTATGGACAATCACTAGCATAATGACCATACTTCTGGCAATTGAAAAATTGAATGTGGCTTTTGTCTGTCTTTCGACCACCACCTCTTCTTGCAGCACCACCTCTTTGGTTGCCTTGGTTCCAAGGTTTCTTTTGATTCGACTGGTTTCCTCCTTTGTTGCCATTCCAGCTACCTTTGCCTTTTCTCTCCTTTTCCGTCTGTGCCTGCAAAGCCATATCTTTCGACTTTCCTGCAGCTCTCTCAGCCATCCTCTGTTCATGAGACTCAAGAGTCCCTTTAAGCTCTTCCTTCGTCAACACTGACAGATCTTTCGACTCTTCTATGGCAACTACCACGTGGTCGAACTTTGGAGCCAACGATCTCAAAATCTTTGAGACAACTGCTTTCATCGTCAACGCTTCTCCACATACTTTGATTTGATTCACCAACTTTGTAACTCTGGTGAAGAAATCTGTAATGCTTTCGTTGTCTTCCATCTGAAGCAACTCATAGGTTCTCTTGTGAGTTTATAACCTCACCTCTTTCACCTTCTTTGCACCTCCAAATGACTTTTCAAGAATCTCCCATGCTTCTTTTACTGAATCAACATCACTAACCTTTTCAAAGTTATCAGGATCAACACACTGATGAATTATAAAGAGTGCTTTATAATCCTTCTTCTTCAATTCTTTGTGCGCAGCCTTTTCCGCCTCTGTTGCATTCTCCACAAGCGGTGTCACTCCGTCCTTCACAAGATCCGATAGATCTTGATAACAGAAAATCACTTTAACCTGCTTGCACCAATTCTCATAATTGTCTTTCTTGAGAATTGGCAGGGTCGCCGAAAAATTTCCGTTCGGATAGTTTAGCGCCATCACTATCTTCCTTCCTTGAATATCTTAACCGGAGCTCTAGATACCAGATGTTGGAAATTCACCTCACACCCTATGAAG